TTGAATAAAAGAAACATTGGTTCAGCTTTTTTTCCCACTAGGTAAACCCAAAATCTAAATATATAGTTCTCTAAGTTATTCAGTAGTTTAATCGTTCAATCATGGTCCAAGTTATATTTTGTAACAATGCTTTCAAAATATTTCAGCTAAGCTGCCATTTTATGCTAACTGTGCTTCCTTCCAGATGGTTTAGGGCATATATCAAGAACCACATCTTCATTAAAATTCATAATTTTTGAGAACAGCATTTCTATTTTGCTTCAAAATGAGAACAACCATTGCTTTATATATGGAGGGAGTCCAGCAACTCTAAGCCAGACCTCCGAATTTTACGGTGTACAGAGGACTAAGATTTAATTTTAACAACTCTCTGACAATCCACATGCAAAAAAAAATGTTTTGTCCCCTTTCGTATAATAACTGCCCTCTTTGCAAATCTTGACATTTGGAAAATTTTTCTATACTTCTCTCTTTTCATCATGCAATATCTTTACAGCACCATTTTCTGTCATTTAAAATATATATTGTCCATCATCTTATGTTTTCAAATACTATAGAGTATTTTAGGATACAATTTGTATGGGTAAAATTTGTACTTATTTCTAGATTTTTTTTTACTGTAATGACCCAGCGTACACACAAAATGTTTATAAATTCAGTTTGGAATTTTGGAATATAGTCACTAAAATCTCCCAGGCTGAAGTGCACAAATAAAGACTATTCACTTATAGCACCTATGCTCCCCTTATCCACTCCCTTTGCCTCAGAACTGCCAAAAAAAAAAAAAAAATAGGCAGGAGACTATGGTTTACCATTGGCAACTCAGACACTATAGAGCAATGACAGCAGTCATTTGAACAGAAGTGTTTTAGCAATCTACAGTTCTCACTTTCACTAAGGGGCCCAATGCTAGAATATTTTTCTCCCACAGCTAACATTCCATGAGATTCAGTTTAGCTTTCATGGATTTGTTTTCTTATGATCTTTGCAGTTGCTAAATCATGAAAGCCATCCATGATTTCTAAGGGCTCTGACCCAGACATACTCTTACTCCTGTATGAAGTCCCACTGAACTGGGAACTAAGGCCCAGTTTTTACACTTAAGTATGTGCTTAACATTACACACTTGAATAAGTGTTTGCAGGATAAGGATCTAAGTTATTAACTTCCCCTTCAGAAACAGCATGGGACAATCCTACATGAGAAACTGTGGCCTGAAGTAAGTCAGATCTTTGCAACATGATCTCATTACTTCAAGATGATATAGCAAACGGCTTTTGCAGATTTATGCCTGTACTTACACCTCAAAGGGGCCCTGTGCAATTAGGGTTGCTACCTTTCTAATTGCTGGTAACTGGACCCCCAATACCTCACCCCTGCTCCGCCTCTTCCCCCCAAAGCCCCACCCCTGCTTTGCCTCTTCCCACAAGGCCCAGCCCCAATTGCCCCACCCCATCTCCCCCCGTTGCTCCCTGGATCATCTCAAGGAGTCTGCCTGCAGGTAGGAGGCAGCTGCGGCTGAGCAGGGCCTGGCGCAGGTTAATGACCCAGTGCTTCCCCCTGCCCTGCGGTAACCAGACTTTTGGTTTGGGTGCCATTTAGGGTTGCTGGGTCCCCGAAAACTAAAACCAAAAACCAGACTATCTGGGTAAAAATTGGACAGATGGCATCCCATTGAGCAATAACGAAGCAATCTTGATCGCAAGAGGCTTAAATTGAAAGGTTTTCTGGTTAAAAATACTGTTTCCCTCTCAGCACTGTAACTAAGTATAAACATTTTCAAACTTATGACGCCCTACAGTAGAGCCCTACATAATTTTATGTTACTTGGACATTAACAAAAAAACTAGCAAAGCCTCACTCCATCCACCCTTTCATGTGCATAAAAGAACAATTTGTTTCATTCTTTTTTAAAAACCAACTGCTCCTGTTAATCATCTTGATACTTTATTCCACGTAATAAGTGTTCTCCGATAAAAATCCACCCAAGTGCCTCTAGTGCCCAAACCTTCCTAACATGAACCCCATTGTTCCTATATTGCATCCTAGCTCAAATATCTTTGCAGAATCTACTGGATTTATTTCAGAGTTCTTTATAATGCACACATTCAGCAGCTTTGATTGGCTCTCTTTCCCCTGAAGATGGGAGAATAGGAAAGGATAGTCAGAGGGAGATTTCCCTGAAGACTAAGGGTTTTCCTACATATGTGCAAAGGTAGTGAAAACTGACAGTTTAAGGAGAAAAAAACAGGGTTGGCACGTCTGCCAGGGGAGTTTTGCTTCACTAAAGAACGCAGTTCTGGATAGTTATAATTGATTACAATAAGGATCAATTATCCTAGCTTCTTCCAAAGCTCTGGAAAAAATGACTTTATGGTATATATGTGTTATCCTCATATATGATAAATCTAATCTCAAACTTAGACTAACTATACAAACTATACAATCCAATGAAGTGAGCTGTAGCTTACGAAAGCTTATGCTCAGATAAATTTTTTAGTCTCTAAGGTGCCACAAGTCCTCCTTTTCTTTATACAAACTAGGTCATATCAGTAGACTTATAGGGAGCACACAATTTTTTTTATCATTTGAAAGCTTTTACTGGTTCTATTGCTATTTCCTATTATATCTGTACAGGAAATCTTTCTCAAACCAGTCGAATATTTGAAAAACAGTAGAAAATGTTTAGGTGCACCTAGTACATATGCAAGTCTCCTTAATAAGTATGCATCTACTCAAAAATGAGCACAATGCTAAAATGCATTTATAATTTTCAAAATGATCTCTGAAAGCATAAACACACTGTGTAAGCAAATTTAGAAATAAAGCAAATAACTTTTACCAAGGTAGGATCAGAGTCTAAAATAGGGAAAGAACAAGTCAAAAATTCCTTAGACAAGTTAGAGGTCTTCAAATCACCAGGGCCTGATGAAATTCATCCTAGAATACTCAAGGAACTGACTGAGGAGATATCTGAGCCATTAGCAATTAACTTTGAAAAGTCATTGAAGACGGGAGACATTCCAAAAAACTGGAAAAGTGCAAATATAGTGCCCATCTATAAAAAGGGAAATAAGGACAACCCGAGGAATTACAGATCAGTCAGCTTAATTTCTGTACCCGGAAAGATAATGGAGCAAATAATTAAGCAATCAATTTGCAAACACCTAGAAGATAATAAGGTGATAAATAAGAGTCAGCATGGATTTGTCAAGAACAAATCGTGTCAACCAATCTGATAGCTTTCTTTAACAGGGTAACAAGCCTTGTGGATAGGGGGAAGTGGTAGATGTGATATATCTTGACTTTAGTAAGGCTTTTGATACGGTCTCACATGACCTTCTCATAAACAAACAACGGAAATACAACCTAGATGGAGCTACTATAAGGTGAGTGCATAACTGGTTGGAAAATCATTCCCAGAGAACAGTTATCAGTGGTTCACAGTCAAGCTGGAAGTGCATATCGAGTGGGGTCTTTCAGTGATCAGTTCTGGGTCCAGTTCTGTTCAATATCTTCATCAATTATTTAAACAATGGAATAGAGAGTACACTTATAAAGTGTGCAGATTATATGAAGCTGGAAGGGGTTGCAAGCGCTTTGGAGGATAGGATTAAAGTTCAAAATGATCTGGACAAACTGGAGAAATGGTCTGAAGTAAACAGGATGAAATTCAATAAGGACAAATGCAAAGTACTCCACTTAGGAAGGAACAATCAGTTGCACACATACAAAATGGGAAATGACTGCCTAGGTATGAGTACTGTGGAAAGGGATCCGGGGGTCATAGTGGATCACAAGCTAAATGAGAGTCAATGTAATGCTGTGGCAAAAAAAAGCAAACATCATTCTAGGATGCATTATCAGGCGTATAGTAAGCAAGACACAAGAAGTAATTCTTCCACTCTACTCGGTGTTGATTAGGCCTCAACTGGAGTATTGTGTCCACTTCTGGGCACCACATTTCAGGAAAGATGTGGACAAATTGGATCAAGTCCAGAGAAGAGCAACAGAAATGATTAAAGGTCTAGAAAACATGACCTATGAGGGAAGATTGTTTAGTCTGGAAAAGAGAGGGGACATGACAACAGTTTTCAAATACATAAAAGGTTGTTACAAGGAGGAGGGAGAAAAATTGTTGTTCTTAACCTCTGAGGATAGGAGAAGCAGCAATGGGCTTAAATTGCAGCAAGGGCAGTTTAGATTGGACATTAGGAAAAACTTCCTGTCAGAGTGGTTAAGCACTGGAATAAATAGTCTAGGGACTCTGTGGAATCTCCATCATTGGAGACTTTTAAGAGCAGGTTGGACAAACACCTGTCAGGGATGGTCTAGATAATATTTAGTTCTGCCTTGAGTGTAGAGGACTGGACTAGTTGACCTCTCAAAGCCCCCTCCAATTCTGTGATTCTAAGAATAAACAGTTAAAATTAACTTTCCTTTTTTCTTTCCACATGCATCTCTAAGGGCTCAAATATTCTGCAATGCAAAACAAAAGATTTATAAAATTCTATGTATTAACTTCAAAAACATTTCAAAGAAAGCCAAAAGAATAACAAAAGGTATTTTTCTAATTAACCTTCTAAATTTATTTTAAAGTACAAGTATATTTAGTGGATCTTGCTGACTTCTAAGATGAGTAATGATTACTAATCATCTAATTTAAGGTTTGCCATACCATTCCAAAAAAGATCAGTTTAAACATATTTTCCCTTTCATTATTTTTAGCAATAAGAACAAAAAGCTTATGTCCCTTCAAATAAAATATTTTGCCTGCTGTAAGGCAACTTTTAAGAAAAGGCAAAAGGAAGAAATCAAATGTGAGAACTAAAAGCTCAATGAACAGGCTACTGATTTTTCATCAAGAAAGTTTTCTTTCATATTTCAATATAAATTACAATCTGTTTGTTCATTCTGTCTATACAATCTTCAAATCCCAGGGTTTCAATCCCACAATAAATTATTTGTTATAGACTAGTAAATAGCTGAACTGGCATTACCTTCTTTTCTTCCTGTAATACTATTACTTCATGATACCGTGGGACGTAGGGTTCATATTTTTTCTTGTCTTCCTTTTTGATGTTGACATTCTCATAATGCAGTGCACTTTCCCTTTAGAAAGTTTAAAGAGAGATTTATGAGTCTTCAGTTTTAAATGCCTGAACATGTAAATACGCATAGTGAAAGCCTTTTGTCCTTTGACTATAAAACAAACAGCTGCTGTTTGTAATATTTAATGAAAGCCAGGATTACTCACGAATGGGAGTGTATAAACATATGGTACAATTACACTGTAAACCTGCAGAACCCACACAAATCATGTTTCACTAATTTTGGTTTGTTACTTTTTCATATTCAAAACTATGTAGTAATTATCACCGGTTGAGTCGAACAACAATGCAAAGGAGAAAAAGCTAAAAATCAAAGGCCAGACAAGTTAGGGTTTCTGTCCTATGAGATATATGTGCATTGAAAAACAAAGCCTCAAGTGACTTATAAGGTTCTTACTTTAACTGGAGATTTAATACTGTAACCTGACAAGATCTGCCTCTTTATAGCACAAACTCATTAAAATTCAAAAGCCTCTCAGTATTTTAATAGTAGCAATGCTCAGAAGAGAACCGCTTTATAATTTAAATATAGAGAGGCACAGATTTCAAGGAAAGGCACTTAAAAAAGATAAAATTATTTCTATTGGTTACTTAAAATGTCATCCTCTTGCCTGGCATTCCAAGAGGCCTACAGAAGGCTGGAAAATGATTAAATCATGACAGATACTTGACTAGCAGATTAACACCAATCAACCTGTAGCTAAGGAATGTTAAAATTAGCTGTAAATATTAATCTCTACCACTTCCTAATCAATTCACCATTTCATCAAGCATCAGTCTTAAAACTGAAAATTCTATGGCAGATATTATTACCTGGCCCTTATTCAGCAGATCATTTAAGCACAGGTTTAATTTTAAGTACATTCTAAAATTCTAAAAACACAGGCCACGATTCAAGAAAACAATGAAGTACATGCTTAAGCCCATCACGCATTAAAGTTCACTCTTTATAGAATTAAAACTTAAGCCTACCTGCAGAAAAAGATAAACATTAGACCACTCAGACAAATTCTGCCCTCAAAGCCCATCCATAAATACTGACTGACTTCAATGTGAACTGAATATGCATATCTCAGGTTAGTTTCTGCCCTATAAGTACCAGATAGAGGGTTAAAAAAAAAAAAGATCAAGTGTCTAAGGGTATGTCTACACTACGAAATTAGGTCGATATTACAGAAGTCGATTTTTAGAAATTGATTTTACACAGTCGATTGTGTGTGTCCACACAAAGCGCATTAAGTCAGCAGAGTGCATCCTCACTACCATGGCTAGCGTCAACTTACGGAGCAGAGCACTGTAGGTAGCTATCCCACAGTTCCCGCAGCCTGGAATTCTGGGTTAAGCTGCCAATGCCTGATGGGGCAAAAATATTGTTGTGGGTGGATTTGGGTACATGTCATCAATTGCCCCTCCCTCCATGAAAGCAATGGCAGACAATCGTTTCACGCCTTTTTTCCATGCGGATGCCATACTGCTTTCAGCATATGGTGTAGTAGGACTGCTAACCGTAGTCATCCACCACTTCCTCTGCAACTCTGCTCCGCTGCTATTGTCTCAATAGCGAATTTCTCCATGCTGTCTGTCACGGGCTTCCGGGTACGTGTGTTCTTCCTCAGGAAATGTGCGCGGTGCTAACCATCATCCTCCACCGCTTCCGCTACAACTCTGCTCTCCTGAATCCACCTTGCAGATCCTCTCGTTGTTCTCTATAAATATCTATTCTTGTGGCATCTGTTGTCAGCCACCGTTTCCGCTGCAACTCTGCTCTCCTGCAGACGCCATACCACGGCAAGCATGGAGCCCGCTCAGATCATAGCGGCAGTTATGAGCATTGTAAACACCTTGGCATTATCCTGCAGTATGTTCGGAACCAGAACCTGCAAAAGCAGGCGAGGAGGCAACAGCAGCGCAATGACGAGAGTGATGAGGACATGGACACAGACTTCTCTCAAAGTACGGGCCCCGGTAATTTGGACATCCTGGTGGCAATGGGGCAGGCTCATGCCGTGGAACATCGATTCTGGGCCCAGGAAACAAGCACAGACTGGTGGGACTGAATAGCGTTGCAGGTCTGGGATGATTCCCAGTGGCTGCAAAACTTTCGCATGCGTAAGAGCACTTTCAAGGAACTTTGTGACTTGCTTTCCCCTGCCCTAAAGCACAAGAATACCAAGATGAGAGCAGCCCTCACAGTTCACAAGCGAGTGAACTCTGGAAGCTCGCAAAGCCAGACAGCTACTGGTCAGTCGGGAATCAATTTGGAGCGGGCAAATCTGCTGTGATCCAAGTAGCCAATGCAATCACTGAACTGCTGCTATCAAGGGTAACTCTGGGAAATGTGCAGGTCATAGTGGATGGCTTTGCTGCAATGGGATTCCCTAACTGTGGTGGGGCAATAGACAGAACGCATATCCCTGTCTTGGGACCAGACCACCTGGGCAGCCAGTACGTAAACCGCAAGGGGTACTTTTCAGTGGTGCTGCAAGAACTGGTGGATCACAAGGGACGTTTCACCACCATCAAAGTGGGATGGCCGGGAAAGGTACATGACGCTCGCATCTTCAGGAACTCTGGTCTGTTTGAACAGCTGCAGGAAAGGACTTACTTCCCAGACCAGAAAATAACCGTTGGGGATGATGAAATGCCAATAGTTATCCTTGGGGACCCAGCCTACCCCTTAATGCCCTGGCTCATGAAGCCATACACAGGCTCCCTGGACAGTAGTCAGGAGCTAGTCAACTATACGCTGAGCAAGTGCAGAATGGTGCTAGAATGTGCATTTGGACCTTTAAAAGTGTGCTGGCGCAGTTTACTGACTCAGTTAGACCTCAGCAAAACCAATATTCTCATTGTTATTGCTGCTTGCTGTGCGCCCACAATATCTGTGAGAGTAAGGGGGAGACGTTTATGGTGGGGTGGGAGGTTGAGGCAATTCACCTGGCTCCTGACTATGCGCAGCCAGACACCAGGGCAATTAGAAGAGCACAGCAGGGCGTGCTGCGTATCAGGGAAGCTTTGAAAACCAGTTTCATGACTGGCCAGGCTACAGTGTGACAGTTCTGTTTGTTTCTCCTTGATGAAAACCCGCCCCCCCTTGGTTCACTCTACTTCCCTGTAAGCCAACTGCCCTCCCCCCCTTCGATCACCACTTGCAGAGGCAATAAAGTCATTGTTGTTTCAAAATCATGCATTCTTTATTAATTCATCACACAAATAGGGGGATAACTGTCAAGGTAGCCCAGGAAGGGTCGGGGAGGAGAGAAGCACCGGGTGGGGTGGTGGATGAGGGAAGGACAAGGCCACACTGCACTTCAAAACTTATTGAATGCCAGCCTTCTGTTGCTTGGGCACTCCTCTGGGGTGGAGTGGTTGGGTGCCTGGAGCCCCACCCCCCAACCCACGTCTTGGGCGTTCTTGGGCGTCTTGGAGAGGAGGGCAGGCGGTTACACATGGGTTGCAGCAGAGGTCTGTGCTCCTGCTGCCTTTCCTGCAGCTCCACCACACACCGGAGCATGTCAGTTTGCTCCTCCATTAGCCTCAGCATTCCATCCTGCCTCCTCTCATCATGCTCCTCTCATCGCATTCATTTAACGCTTTCCTGGACTTTGCCATTGTTTGCCTCCACGCATTCTGCTGAGCTCTTTCAGTGCGGGAGGACTGCATGAGCTCAGAGAACATTTCATCACGAGTGCGTTTTTTTCACCTTCTTATCTTCACTAGCCTCTGGGACAGAGATGATAGGGGGAGTGTTGAAATATTTGCAGCTGTGGGAGGAAAAAAAAAAGGAGAGTAGTGCCAGAGAACTTCCTTCGTGTAATCCGAGAGGTGTACATTCGCTCGGTCAAAGGGGAAACCGCCGAGATCCCAATCCGGAGTGGAGTTAAGCAGGGCTGTCCCCTCAGCCCCATCATCTTTAACCTCGCCATGGAGCCGTTGCTGCGAGCGATCTCCAATGGCACAGATGGCTTCAACCTCCACGGTGAGAGGGTGAGCGTCCTGGCTTACGCGGATGACCTGGTCCTGACTGCAGATGACCCAGGGAACCTCAAACGTATGCTAGATGCCACCAGTCGAGCTGCCAATTGGATGGGGCTCCGCTTCAATGCAAAGAAGTGTGCAACTCTCCACATTGACGGCAGCAAAAGGGACTTGGTGCAGATGACAGGGTTCCAGATCCAGGGCGAGCCCGTCATCCCCCTGGCAAAGGGCAGGCGTACCAGTACCTCGGCACGCCGACGGGTTTCCGTTTCCGCCACCAAGATCGATGCCTCCCTGCTAGCACCATGACAGAAGATAAATGCTCTGAACACCTTCCTGATCCCCTGCATCTCGTTCATCCTAAGGGGATCCGCTGTGGCGGAGGTACCCCTCAACAAGGCAGACAAAATTGTCCGGCAGCTGGTGAAGAAGTGGCTGTTCCTTCCGCAGAGAGCCAGCAATGAGCTGGTCTACATTGGCCACAGGCATGGTGGTGCCAATGGGCCTGCATGGGCGACCTGTGTCACATCGTGGTGATCACCCACGCCTTCTGCCTGCTGATGTGTCCCAACGCCATTGTAAGTGTCATAAATATAAAGGGAAGGGTAAACCCCTTTAAAATCCCTCCTGGCCAGAGGAAAAATCCTCTCACCTGTTAAGGGTTAAGAAGCTAAAGGTAACCTCGCTGGCACCTGACCAAAATGACCAATGAGGAGACAAGATACTTTCAAAAGCTGGGAGGAGGGAGAGAAACAAAGGGTCTGTGTCTGTCTGTGTGCTACTTTTGCCGGGGATAGACCGGGAATGGAGTCTTAGAACTTTAGTAAGTAATCTAGCTAGGTATGTGTTAGATTATGATTTCTTTAAATGGCTGAGAAAAGAACTGTGCTGAATAGAATGACTATTCCTGTCTGTGTGTCCTTTTTGTAACTTAAGGTTTTGCCTAGAGGGATTATCTATGTTTTGAATCTAATTACCCTGTAAGGTATCCACCATCCTGATTTTACAGAGGTGATTTCTTTACTTCTATTAAAAGTCTTCTTGCAAGAAAATTGAATGCTTTTTCATTGTTCTCAGATCCAAGGGTTTGGGTCTGTGGTCACCTATGCAAATTGGTGAGGATTTTTACCAAACCTTCCCCAGGAAGTGGGGTGCAAGGGTTGGGAGGATTTTGGGGGGAAAGACGTGTCCAAACTACGTTTCCCAGTAAACCCAGTTAGAGTTTGGTGGTGGCAGTGGAGATCCAGGGACAAAGGACAAAATTAATTTGTACCTTGGGGAAGTTTTAACCTAAGCTGGTGAAAGTAAGCTTAGGAGGTTTTCGTGCAGGTCCCCACATCTGTACCCTAGAGTTCAGAGTGGGGGAGGAACCTTGACAGTAAGGAACATCGCAGCAAATGCCCTCCATGATGCAACAAAGAAGCGGATCGGCAGAGCCCCCTCCAACCAAGACACCACCACCTTCCTGAGCGGTTCCCTGGATGGCGAATTCAGACGGGACGGACGCAACATCGCTTCACTGTGGTCCCATGCTCGCAATGCCACGCGTCATCTGGGGAAGCGCATCGGCTGTCGCTGGGAGTGGTGCGAGGAGCACCAGGAGCTGGGTGTCCTGGTGCCGCAGATCAGGTCCAACAACAACAACATCATCACCCCAAGCACCAGGGGCATGCTGGAGAGGACCTTGAAGGCAGCCATCCACTCACTGTACATGGAAACCCTGAAGCGTAAACCAGAACAGGGTAAAGCCTTCGAGCAGTGGGACCAGCAAGTGGGACGCCAGCAACAACTTCCTCACCGGGGGCGGCTTCACCCATTTCACCGACTGGCAGTTCATCCGTGCCCGGCTCAACTGCATCCCACTCAACGGAGCCATCCGCCACGGGAACCGAGACAAGCATTGCGGGAAGTGCGGCTACTCCAACGAGACCCTGCCCCACCTCCTGTGCAGCTGCAAGCCCCACTCCAGAGCCTGGCAGCTGCACCACAATGCCATCCAGAACCGCCTGGTGAAAGCCATCGCGCCTGGGGGAGGTCACCGTGAACTGCGCCATCCCAGGTACTGACAGCCAGTTGCGACCTGACATGGTAGTCACCGACGAGGCCCAGAAAAAGATCATCCTCGTCAATGTCATGGTCTCCTTTGAGAACAGGACCCTAGCCTTCCGCGAAGCCCGAGCTCGTAAGCTGGAAAAATACGCCCCCCTGGCCGACACCCTGAGAGCGAAGGGCTACAACGTGCAGATGGAAGCCCTAATTGTCGGAGCCCTGGGCGCTTGGGACCCCTGCAACGAGCATGTGCTGCAGACCTGTGGGATCAGTCAATGCTACGCACGGCTCATGAGACACCTCATGGTCTCGGACACCACCCGATGGTCCAGGGACATCTACATTGAACACATCACCGGCCACCAACAGTCACAGGAGGTGTGAGCCAGTACGACATCGTGCATCAACTATGGTAAAGGGACTGAGAGACTTTTTCCATTGGACCATATGAACTGGAACCATAAACTCACTGAACATTAAATCCCACCAAATGAGGGTAAATCCATCCTCATCATCGTATCCACTCATTAAACTCCACACCTGAACATAGCCATTATATGAACAACATACCCCCATATCTCAATGTCTGTACTTTGACCCGTTAAACTTTTACCCCCAATCGGGGAGATTGCCGATTATGTATTCCTTACGCCATCCGTTCCTAAACTGAATTTCGCACCCCTTGATAATCTGTACCTTATTCCCTGATAACCAGAAACTTCTATGCTTAAACTCTGTACCGTTTTCTTTTTACTTTAACATCATCTTATTAAATTTAAAAAGACACATTTTAGAGAACAACGGGTGGACCCTTTCATGGTGAACCAAGCTGTTAACATTACATAGCACATGTGCTTTCGGTACAAGGTCGCATTTTGCCTCTTATATTGAGGGCCTGCCAGTTTAGTGTGAGAGATCACACACACAGGGCCAGGCAACCAAATTCAGCTTGCAGGCAGCCATGGTAAGCCACAGTCTTTTGGCTTCTTCAATCTTCACAACATGTGGGAATGGTTTCAAACAGCAGCGCCCTCCTTTCCCATACCAAGCACCCGTTGGGTTGGCCATTTAAAAGGAGGAGCTGCGGTTTTCGGGTTAATGTGCAGCACAAACCCAACTAACCCCCTCACACACACATACCCAATTCTCTGGGATGATAGCTTCACCCCTCCTCCCACCACGTGACTAGTATCAGGGAAGATCCCTAGCAGCCAAACACGAATAGTTCAGCGTGAACAGGCTTCCCCCAACACCGTGTGGCTAAAAGTGGGGATGATTTCTTTTCAGCCACAGGCAAACAGCCCAGCAGGAACAGTACCTCTGAATGTCCCCTTAATAATGTCCCTGGAGGATTTCTGCTCCATTCCCAGACACATTAACAGACTTTTCCAGTAGCTGTACTGGCCGCGAATGCATCCCAAGTCTTCAGGGCAAAATAATCATTAAACATGCTTGTTTTTAAACCATGTATTATATTTACAAAGGTACACTCACCAGAGGTGCCTTCTCCAGCTTCATGGTCTGGAAGCCAGCCTTGGGTCCAGGGTGATAAACAGTTCCTGGCTGTCAGGGAGAATGGTTTCTCCACTTGCCTGTTGTGCACTATACTCCTCCTCCTCTTCCTCCTCCTCCTCCTCATCTTCCTCACCCCAAAATCCTCATCCCTGTTGCGTGAGACTCCCCCCTTGCAGGTGTCCATGGACAGTGGTGGGGTAGTGGTAGAGGAACCCCCGAGAATTGCATGCAGCTCATTATAGAAGTGGCATGTCTGGGACTCTGACCCAGAGCAGCCGTTTGCCTCTTTGGTAGGCTTGCCTAAGCTCCTTAATTTTCATGCGGCACTGCTGCAGGTCCCTGCTATAGCCTCTATCCATCATGCCCTTGGAGATTTTTTCAAATATAACGGCAATATTCGTCTTTTGGAATGGAGTTCTGATAGCATGGATTCATCTCCCCATACAGCAATCAGATCCAGTACCTCCTGTTGGGTCCATGCTGGAGCTCTTTTATGATTCTGGGACTGCATGGTCACCTCTGCTGATGAGCTCACCACACTGGCCAAACAGGAAATGAAATTCAAAAGTTCCTGGTGTTTTTCCTGTGTACCTGGCTAGTGCATCTGAGTTGGAAGTGCTGTCCAGAGCAATCACAATGGAGCAATATCGGAGGCCAAAACTGTTGAATTGCGTCCACACTACCCCAAATTCGACCCGGTGATGTTGATTTCAGCACTAAACCCCTCGTCAGGGAGGAGTACAGAAATCGATTTTAAGAGCCCTTTAAGTCGACAAAAATGGCTTCGTTGTGTGGATGGGTGCAGAGTTACATTGCTCTAACGCTGCTAAATTCGACCTAAACTTGTAGTGGACACCAGGGCTAAGAGACTTAGGAGCCTACAGCATGGTCTACACTCTGTGCAATGTACTTCGGTCCACTTAATTTCCGGTGTAGACATAGCTACATCAGCAGATGAATTCTTCCAGTGACCTAGTTACAGCCCCTCAGAGAAGAGAATTAACTACACTGATGGAAAGTCCCTTCCATTAATGTAGGAAGCGTCTGCACTATAGTGGTACTGTGGTAGAGCTGCAACACCATAGCTGTGCCCCTGTAGCATAGACATATACTTAGTCCCATTTTCAAAATTGATTTAGGCACTTAGGGCCAGATTTACAAATGTATTTAGATATCTAAAGATGCATATAGGCACCAAATGGGATTTACAGAAGTGCCTATGCAGGTTAGGCACCTAAATACCATTGAAAGTCATTTTTAAATTAAGGGCTAATGTACAAACTTTCTTTTTCATATGCCAGGAGATAAAGGACTTAAGTAGTTTCTCAGTCACAACACAGTAAAGGAGCAGGCACAAATTCATTTTTTAAATATCATAATAAATTTAAAGAACAGGGTTCCTTATATAGCAGATTAGGAAGTTAGTGACAAGCTAATAAGTGGAGTAAGACTGAAAGAATCTTTACCCTGCTCTGAACATGGCTACTGACATATTACACTAGCCAGGCATGAGTATCACTGTAATATATTTCTCATCCATTGTTCTATGGTGTGCACATTTCCTATTGTTTAGAATTCAACTTTTAGTCATAGCACACAAGAGTTTCTGAAGGAAGTTTATACTTTTGCAATCACTGACTATCCTGCTTGTCACTAAAACAAACTTTTTAAATTTTATTTTCATTGTTCCTAGACAATAAACAACATAGATCATTCTTAATGTGACGTTCCCAAGTAAATAAGTGGAATTGTCTGGGTATGTGGCATTGTTTGGCAATCTTAACTGTGCATTTCCATACTTTAAACTGTGCCCTTCAATTCTCAGTAATTACTGGCTTGGGATGGATAACAAATTCTTTTGTATAATACAAGTCAAATTAAATAATTATGTCATTGAAATTAATTTGAAAACTACCTCTTTTTGAAATTAATAGACATAAATAAAAATGGCATATTGTTACTTACTGAGTTATATCATACTCCCCAGGTCCAGGCCCTGCTTGAGCCTTAAATTCACTACGTTTTCCTGTTAAATTACCAAAATGTACTCCTTTATACTTCATGGCAGAATAAGTACCATTCTGAAAAATAAAGATAAAGACATTTTACAGATTGTGAGCCAAATTTTCTACCCCAGGTCTCTAACATACATAACTTAAAAATATAGACAGATCTGTTTCCCAAGTGTGATTCAAGGGTTATTACACTGCATCTTGGTTTGTGTACATCAGAGCTGATCATAAAAATTCCAGAAAAACTTGTTTTTGTATAAATCTGCCAACTTATCAAAAACAAACATTTTGTGGAAGCAGTTCCATTACAACCAAACTTCTGATGGACCCCACGGACGTTTCCTGCCTGCTTGCCCACCTGGCTTCTCAGCACCCTGCTAAACCAGAAGCCTCACAGCTTGGGAGCGCCAGCTCCCCTTCAGCTCACCAGGTGGGCTACTAAGGACCCAAGGCTTCCCAGGCTCCCTGGGTGCCCAGCAGGCTACCAGGCTGACTGCCATGGAGCTGGAGACTGCAGAAGTGAGGACTGAATTTGACATAATTCCTATCAGTTTCAATCCTTAATAGCTGGTATGAAACTGACCAGACTCTCATTTGGGGGGCAGCCAGAAATCCCAGTTTGCACAGTTCATGTTTTGGTGGAATGTTGTGGAATCTCATTACCATGATCATCTTTGAGATTTTGGCTTTTCACCCCAAATTGGGAGAAAAACATTTCTGAGGAACCAAAATTCAGTTTCCCTATGTGCTCTAGTGCACATAGATAAATCTTCAAGTAGTATTTCTTAATTCACATCTCTCCTAAAATGACCATACGTATTTCTGTATTTACTAAAGTTAGTGCCCTCATTTTAGCTTTCACATACAGAATAGTTCCCTAGTCAGACCTTGTCACATCAGGTAAACAGTCTGTAGCTTTCTCAGAGACACACCCATAATTGATGTGAAAAAGCAGGTGCCCATTTGCAGTTCCCCTCCAAAATATATGGACTAATAACCCCATATAACACAAAATACAAAAAGGACAAATATGCCAAAACTTAGATGCAGCATTCTGCATCAAGTAATAACCTTTAGCCCCTCCATGCCACTCATCCATTATCTGTCCAATTATACCATGTTTATGGCAGCCACACACTCATCACTCTAGCAGTCAAATGCATAGAATCATAGACTTTAAGGTCAGAAGGGACCATTATGATCATCTAGTATGACCTCCTGCACAACACAGGTCACAGAATCTCACCCATCAACCCCTGTAACAAACCCTTAACTTATGTCTGAGCTATTGAAGTCCTCAAATCGTGATTTAAAGACTTCAAGGTGCAGAGAATCCTCCAGCAAGTGACCCGTGCTCCATGCTGCAGAGGAAGGCGAAAAACCCCCAGGGCCTTTGCCAATCTGCCCTGGAGGAAAATTCCTTCCTGACCCCAAATATGGCGATCAGCTAAACCCTGAGCATGTGGACAAGATTCACCAGCCAGAAATCCAAAACAGAATTCTCTGTAGTAACTCAGATCCCACCTCATCTAACATCCATCACAAGCCACTGGGCATATCTACCGCTAGTAGTTGAAGATCAATTAATTGCCAAAATTAGGCTATCCCATCAGATCATCTCCCCCATAAACTTATCAAGCTTTGTCTTGAAGCCAGATATGTCGTTTGCCCCCACTGCTTGCCTTGGAAGGCTGTTCCAGAACTTCACTCCTCTGATGGTTAGAAACCTTAATCTAATTTCAAGTCTAAACTTCCTGATGGCTAGTTTATACCCATTTATTCTTGTGTCCTCATTGGTACTGAGCTTAAATAATTCTTCTCCATCCATGGTATTTATCCCTCTGATATATTTATAGATAGCAATCATATCTCCTCTCAGCTTTCTTTTTGTTAGGCTAAACAAGTCATTGAGTCCGCCTTTCATAAGACAGGTTTTCCATTCCTCGGATCATCCTAGTAGCCCTTCTCTGTACCTGTTCTAGTTTGAATTCATCCTTCTTAAAACATGGGAGACCAGAACTGCACACAGTATTCCAGGTGAGGTCTCACCAGTGCCTTGTATAACGGTACTAAAACCTCCTTATCTCTACTGGAAATACCTTGCCTGATGCATCCCAAGACCGCATTAGCTTTTTTCACGGCCATATCACATTGGCAGCTCATAGTCATCCTATGATCAATCAATACTCCAAGGTCCTTCTCCTCCTCCGTTACTTCTAATTGATGCGTCCCCAGCTTATAACTAAAATTCTTGTTATTAATCCCTAAATGCATGACCTCGCACTTTTCATTATTAAATTTCATCCTATTACTATTACTCCAGTTTACAAGGTCATCCAGATCTTCCTGTATGATATCCCGGTCCTTCTCTGTATTGGCAATACCTCCCAGCTTTGTGTCGTCCGCAAACTTTATTAGCACACTCCTGCTTTTTGTGCCAAGGTCAGTAATAAAAAGATTAAATAAGATTGGTCCCAAAACCAATCCTTGAGGAACTCCACTAGGAACCTCCTTCCAGCCTGACTGTTCACCTTTCAGTGTGACCCGCTGTAGTCTCCCCTTTAACCAGTTCCTTATCCACTTTTCAATTTTCATATTGACCCCCATCTTTTCCAATTTAGCTAATAATTCTCCATGTGGAACCATATCAAATGCCTTACTGAAATCGAGGTAAATTAGATCTACTGTGTTCCCTTTGTCTAAAAAATCTGTTACCTTCTCAAAGGAGATCAGGTTGGTTTGATACAATCTACCTTTTGTAAAACCATGTTGTATTTTGTCCCAATTACCATTGACCTCAATGTCCTTAACTACTTACTCCTTCAAAATTTTTTCCAAGACCTTGCATACTACAGATATCAAACTAACAGGCCTGTAGTTACCCAGGTCGCTTTTTTTACCTTTCTTAAAAATAGGAACTATGTTAGCAATTCTCCAGTCATACGTTACAACTCCTGAGTTTACAGATTCATTAAAAATTCTTCCTAACGGGCTTGCAATTTCATGTGCCAGTTCCTTTAATATTCTTGGATGAAGATTATCCGGGCCTCCTGATTTAGTCCCATTAAGCTGTTCGAGTTTGGCTTCTACCTCGTATGTGGTAATATCTACCTCCATATCCTCATTCCCATTTGTCGTCCTACCATTATCCCTAAGCTCCTCATTAGCCTCATTAAAGACTGAGGCAAAGTATTTGTTTAGATATTGAGCCATGCCTAGATTATCCTTAACCTCCACTCCATCCTCATTGTTAAGCAGTCCCACTTCTTCTTTCTTTGTTCTCTTCTTATTTATATGGCTATAGAACCTTTTACTGTTGCTTTTAATTCCCTTTGCAAGATCCAACTCTACATGGTGTGATGGGGCAAGGCCAGATGGATATAGAAAAGTAGTGGGAGATAGATATATTAGCTCCAGGCTAAACAAATCCCTGGTACCAGGATAAGTGAAATGGCAGCTGCTCCAGGTCAGTTAAGACACCTGGGGCCAATTGAGAACTTTCCAGAAGGTAGGGAAAAGGCTAGGTTGATTGGGACACCTGAAGCCAAACAGGGGCTGGCTGAAACTAGTTAAAAGCCTCCCAGTTAGTCAGGTGGCTGTGCATGTCAGGAGCTGTGGGAGGAAGTTGTGCTGTTGGAGAGGTTGAGTAGTACACACCATATCAGGCACAAGGAAGGAGGCCCTGAGGTAAGGGTGAAGCGGAGCTTGAGGAAGTGAGGGCTGCTGTGAGGGAAGTAGCCCAGGGAATTGTACATGTCATGTTTCTAAAAGGTCAGCTACCATAGCTGATACTATTAGGGTCCCTGGACTGGAGCCTGGAGTAGAAGGTGGGCCCGGGCTCCCCACCACCACCTTTGCCCCCTGATTAATCACTGAGACTGGGAGACAACAGAGACTGTGCAAGGAAGGATAACTTCTCCTTATCTCCCTCGCTGGCTTATGATGAAAATGGCTCAGTAGACTGTGACCCTTGTCTCTAGAGAGAGAAGGGTTACACGCAAGGTCACGGTGAGCCTCTGAGGCTAGCGAAATCCGCCAGGAAACGTGGGACCCACGGAGGCAAGGACAGAGCTTTGGCACAATGGCTTTTGGCCTTTCTCGCTTTATCCTACATGTTCTGACTTCAGTGAGGTAGCTTTCCTTGCTAATCCCTCCCATCTTCCACTCCTTGTAGGCTTTCTGCTTTTTCTTAGTCACCTCTCTGAGATGCTTGCTCATCCAGCTTGGTCTACAACTCGCCTATGATTTTTTTTCCCTTTCTTGGGATGCAGGCTTCTGATAATTTCTGCAACTTTGATTTGAAGTAATTCCAGGCTTCCTCCGCCTTTAGATCCACAAGTTTTTCAATCCAATCCACTTCCCTAACTAATTTCCTTAATTTTTTAAAATTCGCCTTTTTGAAATCAAAAACCCTAGTCACAGATCTATTTTTGTTTATCCTTCCATTTAGTTTGAACTGAATTAGCTCATGATTGCTCGAACCAAGGTTGTCCTCTACAATCACTTCTTCTATGAGGGCCTCACTGCTCACCAAAACCAAATCTAAAATGGCATCCTCTCTTGTCAGTTCAGCAACTACTTGGTGAAGGAATCCATCAGCTATCGTATCCAGGAAAATCTGAGCCCTATTATTATTACTAGCACTTGTTCTCCAGTCTATATCTGGGAAGTTAAAGTCTCCCATGATCACACAATTCCCACTAGTATTTACTTCTTTAAAAACATTAAAGAGATCTCTATCCATATCCATATCCACATCGGATCCTGGCGATCCATAGCACACCCCAAGCACTATCCCAGGGCAGGCTCTCATAGCTTTTTTCCCCAGTGTGGTTTTTGCCCAGACAGACTCTGTCTTATCCAGTCCATCACTTCTTATTTCTTTACAGTCTACCTCATCATTGATATACGATGCTACTCCACAACCTTTGCCTTTATTTCTGTCTTTCCTAAATAGCACCATACCCTTCAATACCTGTACTCCAGTCATGACTACTAATCCACCATGTTTCTGTTATCCCTATCATATCTGGTTTCACTTCCTACACCAATAGCTCTAGTTCCTCCAT